CCTCAAACATGCGGCCAAAAGCACTCAAACAAGCGAGCCAAATAAGATGTCCAGAGAGAGAAGAACAGTCACTCCCGTTCTCAAACCACGCAAAATTCAAATGTGCCGGGCATAGAGTTAACAGATAAATAATGATGTGTGGTATTCATGATCGTGAAATGTCAGTATAAGAGCAACACACAGATAGAGTTATTGCACCATAAATAATTATGGGTTTGGATGGATTTTCAAAAAAATCAGTATGAAATACACGAACTACGTTTTTTAACGTTAAAATTTGCTCCACATCCTGCATAAAGCAGCTACCCTTCTTCTCGAGGGGCCCTGACCTGTCGGGGGTTGACACCCTTTCGATAACCGTATCATTGGTTATCGAGCCACCTTGGTCTCCAGTTTCCGTGGCCACCGAACATCTATGAAATGTCCCACTTTCCGGGCCGTGTCCCTGGTCTCCTAGTTCAGCCATTTTTGCCTCTGGAGTCCTGAGTGTACCTAGAGGTTGCGATCGGTGTCAGCGTCTGATCAGCGACTTTAGCCGGAGTAAGGAATGCTTTTTTAGGGATCGTTTTCACCCCAGTCATTCCCTGCGTATCGCTTTCTGCTTCGGGTTTGACGCTAAGCGGTCGCCCCACCGTTCTTACTGCCTTAATTGGAACAATTGGAACTGGGGTTGGATTCATATTGAATATAACAGTGGGGGCCTTTGCCCTCTGCACTGTCGGTTTCACAGCAGCCTTTGGCTGTTTTCGGGATCCCACCTTAGTTCCGATCTCCTTCACAAGTTTTTGTCCCGCGTGTACCAACTGTTCCGTCCTCAAAGAAGTCGAGGCAGCAACTGATGAATAGCTCAGCTTGCTTTGGTTTACCGGTGTTTTAGCAACACCCGGTTTCAGAGAGACCTTTTCGAGGGATACCTTGAGAGTCTCCTTTCCGGTGACCTTATTCTTGCCTGTCGCGGTTGCATGACCCTGCTCTGGGGTCTGCTGTGATCCCTGCTTTCGGGTATCAGGTGTGATCTGATACCTTCCCCCAGTGACTCGCTCGATTTTCTCGCAGTTACTGAGCATCAGGTCCCGGACTGCAGGGCTTCCGAACTCCACTAAGATGGGTCTAGCCTTTCTTTGTTGCAGGCTGCCTATAGGATCGATCCAACGGCCGATCCTCTGCACCCTCCTAATAAGAGCACGTGGGGGTAACCCAGCAAGTCTCAAGAGGTCCCGGACCTTTCTATGTTTTATGTCAGCCCGCGCTTTCGCATTCCTAATTATTGGTTCCTCGTTTTTATAAATGAAGATGTTTCTGTTTCTTCTCATTGCCGTTTCGTTCTCTTTTTTTGAGAAGCGACAATTCCCTCTCTAACGTGGTAACTTTCCTTCTAGCTCCTTTACGATTTTCGTCAGCTCTTCCTGTGAATCCAGTGAGTTCTGGATTTTCACTCCGGTGTTGTCTACATTTGGAGCAGCTTTTCGACCGGCACCCTCCGCCAGTACTGAGCATATGTAACAGAGCNCGTAGACTTCGTAGGCTTTACGGTCTAGGTGAGCACATGATTAGCGGTACCAATATCCACAGCAATCACACTGAATACCGTCAGAGACCATTTTCTGGTACTTAAGAGCTCCACAGCAACCTGTTTTGGCCATTGCAAAGCCAACAGTGTGCAA